CGCAGTGAGTGCAGAAGAAGTCAGTTTTAATTGAGCAACCATCAACGTACATTATAGAAACGAAGCCAGTATATTATCGGAAACTCCCATTATATACTCTTCGATAATTAGTGTGTATTTTTTATGTAACAATAATAAATCATTTATATATAAATCATAAATCATTTATAAACCAAAAATGCGAATCACCCTTTGTGACGGTAGATGGCGCCTATACGCCGCTTTGATGTTTGCCTTAGCATAACTCATATAATATATAATAATAATAACTAATCTACATAATCATCAGTACTAAGAATCATATTTCATAGCAGGAATTGTTGCCAATAAAGAACTCATGTCAATGAAATATTGTCAACACGAACCAGACGACTGTGACACACAGGACTGTTGTTTCTCTGCGCTGTCTATATATATAATTGCTATATAATGCCAAACCTTACCTAATTTGCATAATTTTTTTTTAATATCAAACTTAACCCCCCCTAGCCCTATCATTCCACATAGCCAAAAATGACCAAAATCTGTTGAACTGTAGAAGCCTGAACTGACTACACTGGCAATTCCCATTTTTGGCAAAAATTGCCGTGGCCCAAAAAGATACGTCGACCGGCGGTCTCCAAAAGTAGAACGTTTAATAGGGAGCATAGCACGTAACAACTATGACCAAAATTCCCAACATGTGGGTCACAACGGTTCCTGAGTTTTCGTTGACCCGTACACAAATGTTGACGGACGGCACCGGCCGGAGACGGCCGTCCACGGACGACCGAAACCATTGCATATAGGTGCCGACCCTACGCCCTGTCAAGGATTGAGCTACCATACTATATAATGAGGATTACGGGGCGTTGGGGTTAGGGTTAGTCCAGCAAAATACTAAATAAGACCAGGCAATACCACGAGGTCAGGGGAACATAGACCTTAGGGATTTTGGGCATTCGGGCAGCATTGGGTGCTCTAGATTTTTAAACTAAACTAATTATATAAATGTGCTGAGGGTGGTCAATGGGTGCTCAATGATGGTCAGAGGTTGGTCTATATGTGCATATGTGTGTGTATGACGGTGTGAAATCATGCACCTTCGCAGGTCATCCCTATTGCTTCATTGGTTCAGGAGTGGACAGCCACGCACTTGGTGGTTCCTGGATTGGCGAGGCACTTCACACTAACATGTAAGCCATGTGTACCAGCATATGAAAACATTTCAACCTGACCTGCCAACGGCTATGTCAAAAAACCAATAGACATTTAGTCCAGCTGCTACAATCCAATGCGACTCTAATCTCTTCGACAACGAAGCGTACTTCGATACCAAAGCCACCACTGCGTCGACCGCTGTCGTGCGAACAACATCCCGTCTAATAAACATGTATCAGACAGAGGTGATCAGGCGATAGACCGGCGTGTAGTACAAGCGGCTATGTCCCGACCGGCGAGGACGTCTTCTTGCCTGAGCAAGTATACCTGGCGTCTAACCCGCGCCTCCGAGCTGAATAAAACTCAAAACACCCAACCGAGGCCAGCGTACCCTGCTTGTAAATTGAGTCCTAGCTCTGATCCAGTCGCTTATCGCAGCGATTCAGCATGCTAATCGCCTTCTCGTAGATAGCCGAGCCTGGTAGGAGTCATACGCGGCTTAAAGTCTCAAGGCTTTAGGTCAGCGTTAGGTTACGGGATAGGCGTAGGCGACTCCTATACTCGTCTAGTGGCGTAGGCGACGTTACGGTCCGCATAATCTTAGATAGTAGTATTAGTACCATGGTCCGTTCCGGTATAACCGCGACCTGTACCAGGGTACGTCCGCAGTACCCTGGGGACATCGACCATCCAGCAATAGTGACATGCAGTGCTACACGACAGAACAGGCGTCTGTTTATCCTTGGACCTTTGCTGCAGTTTAACATTCTCATGCCGCTGTATCGTCGAAATTTCCCTCTTCCAAAGAGCTCAATTATCCATCCAGTCACACGTTCACACATGAAAGTTCCATGACCACGATTTATCTTGTCGCTAAAAACTTATTTAAATCCCAATCGCTTTTCAGAATCCACCCTTTTGAGCATGCTCCTGTCTTCATTGTAATGGCAAATGTGCGGGCAGAACTCTTGTCATTGGATCATCGCTGCGTACACCCTCTGTGTTTGGCGACAGCGCGGGCAGGCCATGATGGCTCCTGGTAACATAAGCACCCAATCCACTGTAAATTACCGCCGTCACTTTAACGCCTGTGAAAAATCAAAAATCATGAATTATATGCACAACCCGACTGCTCGTGTGTCGCAGTTCCGCGTGTTACGGTACCGCGTGTCTCACTGTTTGTAGATCGATAAATAACCGTTCTTTTTTCTCCTTAGGGCACACGGCAATAATCAACCATGTTATGTTGGATGTAGTAACCGCTAGGCTCAAGAGTACCCAATGTGATAGTGGACAGAGCGGGCGAGTTGGGCAGTCACTTCTAGAATGGCAGTACGGCTCTGACAGGTACACGGTTCATAACGCCTCAGCGAAACCACGCGCACGTAGTGAGTATCAACTTCATCTATGTGCGATCACGACAACTTTCATGAGTTACTAATACAGATGGCAATGCCCTGTGCCATATAAAAATAAAGAACTTGTGAAACTTGCTATATCCATTTTCCCCGCGCCTGTCATCTAACCCAGGTTCTTATATATACCGCCACAAGTATTATTTGCCAATCGTATTCGGCAACAACCACTGACGGCTGCCACACATGCCAGATTATAATAACCATTACCTTATCTCACCTGTCCTAAGTGCAAGAATACGTCCTTTACTACTGTCAGTTCCATGCCCGGTCCTCTATAGCAACCTACAGCGATAAAAGTGCATGTCACCGTTTTTTCTATTCGCATTTTTGCCACAGAGTGCATACTTCCCTCTTACAGCAAGAATGTGCTTGCATATTGTGCGACTAGGATGGCATCATGTTCCTTGAGGTTTCTCAGAATGCATTAGCATACCTGGATAACCCGGCAGCGTCAGGCGTGTGTCCATGGATCCTATGCAACTCGATAAGGCTATTTGCAGAGCCACGCAAAGAAAGTATAATTACCTATCCATCACATAATCCTATTGGGCATGATAGGGCTCTCAGTTGGTCTCCCCCCAGGGTACTGGCTGGAACGTACCGCCTGGTTCGTCCCTGGTACTGACCGAGAATTCTACTAGATGCAACCTCGTTACGTCCGCTCTCACCCCTAACATCGTCTCTACGGGAGTCCGGCCTACGCGCTACTCCCACCCTCCAACAGACCAATTACCCCTCTCACAGCACAGGGCGCGACCGTTACCCAGGGTCGCGTCTCACGACCAACCGCGCAGTACCTGCCGTCAACCCTTCCTGTGGGCGACCCTAGCCCCATCAAGCCCCACGCCATAAACTCGCGTATGTGCGAGCTTTAGCGCGCAGCTGACAGCCAGTGGCATCCTCGTAGCCGACTCACAGTTTGATGCTACCTTGAGACCAAACAACAACATCAAATCGTACCCCACTACCATCACATAGTCACATTATACGAGTGTCGATAACTAAAACCACTCTAGATTCCCCCCCGAAAGCTCCGCGCTGATCTATTAGGTCTGAGCCATATCAGATAACGACTACCTAGAGCGAGCCCTTCACAAATATGATTCAATACAAACAGCAGAACGTAGGTCATTGGCAAACTATCTTCCTCTACACAACATGTTTGCTGCTATACGGAAATGGAACCCCCAATTATACAAAATCTCAACAAACGCCCTACACAAGTTGTGAGAGCGAGTATTAGAAAACATACAGTACTTTCCTAAGAACGCCCTTGCCGATTTTATACCTACAACGCATCACCTTTCCTCTCTGACTTGCACCGTAACTTGAAGACTCAGAACCGATGAACCCCATGCCTGCGCCACTCTTTCATATAGTTCAGCTTCTACGTCGAATAATATGCGGTATTCCTAGTACCTAATATACTTGCTCGCGTAATAACTCCTGTGGATGAGTATCAATATACTAGGTCCGTCGCTCGTCAGATATACTTGCGTCACGGTGTTGCCCTCCGCCCTTCGCTCCGCGGGCTAGCCCATTCACTTTACTGCGGTATTTCCATAGGAGAACTCACGCCGCGCAGCGAGTCTAACCTACACGCGCTGAGTCGTGCCACAAGTGGACACACCCAACACCACGTACGGCGAGCGCCAACTTGATTAGTCGCATTGACAAGGCGCACTTCGAGCGCCAGACTGCCGTGTGCACGTACCACCACCAAGTCCTCGCGTGACCACATTCAGATATGATCTAGGACTTTTCACTTTGCCCGACTGCAGCGCGCGATAGGGAAACGGAATCCAAGTAGCCACTCGCGAGGGGTGGTTCGAGGTTGCCTATGACTTTCGCGAGACTCCCCCTAACCCTCCTCGGGTCCGAAGAGGGGTATTGTTATATTGCGCTGAGCATTCCTACTTCCCATCATCATCAACACGTGGCGTCCACAACCCTACCTGGGAGCGTGTGCCTCTCCGATGCTCCCTACTAGCACATCTGAGCATGCCCCCCACATGCAACAGAGTCCCACACTGCTATATCCAAGTATGGTTTCATCTCGAGCGAACTCGACGAAATTAGTCAAACCATACAATTTACGCTATATTCATTCCACGATTGCGTGCATTTCTGTCGTCCGGGATAGCACCTTCCGCGTGGGAGTTGTCAGCTTCGTGTACCGCGCCCGACTTCGTGGACGATCGGCGGTATCGCCCCAGCTCGTTCTGGGACCAAGCAACTATCGGTGGCCTATCTGACTCCAGCCAACCAGTCTTTTCAGTGCTTACAAGCGGAGGAGAGGCGTAACTCGCACCACGTCTACGTAAATGATCGATCACGTGCCTTATGGTTACCCAGCGAACTTTCAGTTCCGCTCACGAGGATGGAGGCAGCCACCTTGTCAATACTCAGTAACTAGCAGTTTACCTCACTTACATAGTGCAGTGCCCCGACACGTGGATAGGAGGCAACCGACGAAATATCGAAGATTACGATGTTGCTAACCTTCATGGTTGTTCGTAAACTTCGTGCGCCAACCTCAGCCTCCACTCCCTCCACCGAGCGCCTCACGGCTACTGCGCGCTGCGTCGTGGCCAACCCAGCCGTTCGTTCTCATCTTCCGTTGCTTCGTTAGTTAACAATGCTCAGACGACGGACGTGATCACGGGGCACCCCCACCCGCCTCTGCTAGGCCTTGACGTAACGGTTACGTCTTATCAATAACTGTCAACCCCGCGTGTAATACTACAAAGCTAACAGATATAAGCGTAGCCAGACAAAGGCTAAATACCCGCAGGCTCTCCTACTGCACGGCTGCTCCCTACAGCATTATACATAGGCCAGTTCTATCCTGCACTAAAGCGTTGGCTCCCCTCTCTCGTACATTTAAGGAGCCACTTTTAATCTCTACTCCACGTATTCTGTACTCGCCCCACAACGACATTCAACCAGGACCAAACAAACCAGCCTACCAGCCAACGTACTCTTAACTGCCCATGTCTCTATCCTTGAACCCTCTGTGGTCCTTACCCACAACGCACGTCGAACACTGGTATACCGTCACGGTACTTGTATCCAGTACAACGTACCGTCAGCTGTCGCACCATACTCTCCACTCTCCCGCCACACAACTCCAGCCGGCCTCTCCACTCTATAATGCTCATACAGATAGTAGTCGCAGTCAGCAAGCCCGCACTCGACAAACCGGCCGCGACTCGAGTGTTAACTCACTAGACGCCCGAGACAAACTCGACAGTGCTACCTCTCTAAACCCCACAGGCGAACTCTATTGTGACTTAGCCATCCCGGACAAAACACAACCGTGTCCTCCTCGCTTCACACACTCCCGAGTCCGTTTTATTTCTCTCCCGCGCACGAGGACATACGATTCCGCCATCTTGGGTTCGCCGAGGGGGTGGCATAACCATCCAACATGGGCTTGCCTCTCATGTAAGGCCACTACACCTAATCCACCCCACAACAATTGGTGAGCCGGCAAACACTACGAAAACGCAACACTCTAGACGACCAACGAACCTCACCATATTAATACAAGCACCAAGCCCCGAAACATTAACGGCCAAACCTGCCCGTGGTTCTCCAGTGCGCTACCGTCACAATTACCTTAGCTTGGAACCGTGGGACCCGTGCACCGCCCTACAATACATAACACTATTTCAGTGTTATATTCACCCTCGAGGTTTCCCGCGATTTTTATACCAGCCGCTGCCGTAGTATTCAAGGATACGGGTTTAACTGCAAAAAACTAGCGCGGGAATCACACAAGAGTTACATTAAGTGTCATTTGTACAAGCCAGAGATATATTGTTCATTGATTACAAGAACCGGAGACATGATGACGATCCGGCAACCTACAAGATGCGGACAAACGACGATATACGGCACCCAAATCGCCCACACACAGTGTTAATGACCGTACGCGAGGGAAAGAATGGCTGAAGACACACACAACGGCCAGCCCCCACACGCCACCACGCCGCGCACAGCACACCCGCCGGTGCAGCGCCCCTACCACCCGCACACGCACACGCCACCACGACCACACCACCACGCATACACATACACACTACACATACACAACACATGTACACATCCCATACACATACTACATACCACATACACTAGCACATACCATACACCCTACCACATAACACATCCCATACACTACAGCATACACATAGCACATACCCATACAGCATCCACATATCACATACACATACACTCACACATACACATACACATACCACACATGACACCAACACATACCCGATACCTATATACCACATACACCATAGCACATCTCCAGTACATACCTTGACAATACCATACATACATACCCACAATCAGAGATTGGCATCATAAGCACACACCACATCAACACATCAGAGGAAATTCACCGCACGCACGCCGAACCCCGCACCCACACGCACATATGATCGCGTACATACTTTTTGTCACCAACTCCAGTCTAGCACCGCCGAAGTATTATGCGAATGTGCATAATTCGATAGGGCAAATTAACTCATAACTCGTAGCGTTATCGGTTTATGTAGCACAATATATGGCCTATATTATTTAAATCGAAACAATGACTGATAACACTGTGTACTGTGACGAAGTGAGTCCTCAGTCTCCGGAAGCAATATTGGTGTTGTGACAAGATATATACAACACAACCGGTTTTGTGAACAATTCAAAACTGTAAACTCAGCGGTTTCACTACACGTGTTTACCAGATTACTTCCGCACCCACCAGAGGGCACAATGGTTTTGTCCAGCATGTAGAAAATCACTGGCCTCTCCATTAACGCGCAAAAAGTTACCCAACTCGTGCCCGTAACCGCATCAGGTTCTGTAACTTAAAAATTGTGATATTGTTGTACGTTAATTAACAATGCATTGGCATCTGCGCACCGTAGTGTGATTGTTCACGGACTGTTTCAACAGTGTTGTTTCTAGGTCCATCCTATAAGAAAGTTTCTTGAACTAGTTTCATCGTGATTCATAGCATAGACATAGTGGTCAAAGACTTGTTTATTTAGACTAAATCTGGTAAACGCGTAAATCAGAAGGGAGGTAGGATAGAGAGGAGAGGAGAGTAGGGCGGCAGACAGAGCAGAGAAAAGGGAGGAGGAGAAGACAGAGAGATAGAGGGGATGAGAGAGAGAAAGGGGAGAGGAGAGACCGAGAGAGAGAGAGGAGGATAGACAGACTAGCGAGAGAGGGATGAGAGAAAGAGGAGGACGAGAGAGAGCGCAGACAGCGAAGAGGAGGAGGATAGAGCAGAGAGAGAGAGAGAGAGAGAGAGAGTAGAGAGAGAGGGTGATAAGAGAGAGAGAAGAGAGGAAAAAGACCAGAGAGAGGGAGGATAGAGACAGGAGATGAAGAGGAGAGGAGGAGAGACAGAGAGCGAAGCGGGGGGCGGCAGGAGAGAGCAGCAGAGGGAAGAGGAGAGGAGATAGACAGAGAGAGAGGGAGGAGGATGGCGAGGGAGAGGAGGAGGCGAGACGAGGAGCCGAGGAGAGACAGAAGAGAGAGGGAGAGTGAGAGACCGAGAGGGAGCCAGGAGGAGAGAGCGACTGTAGAGGGAGCGAGGACGGAGACAGAGAGAGAAGGGGAGAGTGCAACAGAGAGCGAGGGCGGCGGAGAACAATGAGAGATGATGAGAGAGAGAGACAGAGACAGAGAGAGGACGGAGAAGGATAGAACAGGAGGCGGAGGAAGAGAAGGAAGGAGCGAGAGACAGAGAGAGAGAGGATTAGGATAGTACAGTAGAGCGAGAGCAGGGAGGCAGACGACAGAGAGAGAGAGAGAGAAGAGAGAGAAAAGAGGAGAGCGGAGGGAGGAGGAGACGACATTAGAGAGGAGAGAGAGAGAGAGGAGAGAGAGCGGAAGAGTTTATTGTGTATTCCTACGACAGCCAACATGTACTAAATAGCTGGTCCGTATACAATTATATTACAACATCGAAGAGTTAATACAATCTAAGCCGAAACCTGCATTACTTTAACTTCTTCATCATTTCCCCGTCAAAACCTTCTCAGTGAAACGCTCGGATGTGCTCATCTGGCTCTTAAACTCAATGTTCTCCGTTCTTAGAGTATGTAGCTCAGATTGCGGCTAAAGTTATGTGTAATTAATTAACACAGCACTGATTAACACTGATTACGTAGATCAAATACAGCCGTGACATATTCATGCATCGGTTAAAGGGATGGCACGCTCGATGTTAGAACAGAATGTAAAGGTAAATTACATTCATTAGCAAACCCGCAGCAACTAGCAGTAAGTTATTTTATGAAAATAAGTTCCAACAACACTATGACTGCTTGGTCTAATTAATCTGTTGCCAAGTGAAATGGCTTAAGATTGCCACCAGGTGGCAGCATGTACCAAGAGCCAGAAAGCAAACATAAGCATTATGCACTCCTGTATACAGAGTTATCTACGAGAGCAATAATCAAAATAGTTACCTTAATAAGCAAAAATTCCATGAATTTTTGCCAACATTATAATAACAGCATGTATACAAATAGGATTATATATGTGAATCATATATGGCATATCATGGCATCCTGACAGTGACTCTGTGACTGTGCACGAGTCCTGCGTCTGTACGCGCGGTACCTCACAAATTTATCAGCGGAGCTCCCGGTCGGAGCGAGGCACCATAAATTAAACCAATAATGGTAACCCATCGACTTCATTTTCCCATGCGGCCCCGTACATGCGTACGTACGTCTTTGTAACACCCTGCCAACCCACATATTATATATATATAAAATCATATATCACTTCCACCGCTTTAGGACAGTGCCTACATCTATGAATAATATTAGTAATATATCTTAACTAGCTATTACCCGTCCAGTCCAGACGAGGTTCGCAGTGGGCGTCCGATTTGAGGGGCGTTTAACCCATTTACCCTCACGTTTAGCTGCACAGGATGTATTTAACAGTAAACCGATAAAACACCGATAATTTAGACTCTAGCATATATCAATAAAAATTAATAAAAAAATTGATCTAAATATAGTATAACACTGAAATTTTACCCTAAAATGACCTCAATTAATGACTTTTACAATAAAGGTTAAGTAATACAGCATTTAATTAGGAGAGGCCTTCACCTAGCATAAGCAAGCCTACACTAACGCCACGCCACGAACGTCCCGCACCCGCCGACACTGCGGCCTCACGCATAACACCCATCCACACACCACACACACACACACACAAACACACACACTGCCAGCACACCACACTCACGCACACCCATGCACACACACACCACACACACCCCGCCACACAACACACCACCACACACACTACCCCACACACACACACATACCAACCATACAAGCATGGCACTATACCACGCGAATACACCGAGGGAGAACTCACGCCCAGCACGCGAGACACACATCCGGGTTTCCGCGCGGATGATGCGGTTTCCGAGCCACACTCCAGCACGCCCGTATGATCGCGTACCAAATTGTGTCACTAACTCAGTCTAGCAATCCGAAAGTACTTATGCGACATGTGGTCATAATGTATCATTTAACGAAAATACGCCTTAAGGCCGAGCCACTCAGCGATTGAGTCCGACGACTGAAATAATCGCTCGATTAAATCAAAACTTTAGGGCCCGCATCACACTAGGCTTTAAACGTGTGTGCCATGAAGTGCGTGGGTGCGTACGTGCGTGTTGTACAGACAGGTACACTGTCGTGCGTGCCATGCATGTGCAACGTAGCCGTGCCGTGCCGTGCGTGCTGTAAAGTAGTGCCGTGAGTGTCCGAGGCACGAACGCCTGCTGCCGTGCCTTTGGCGTGCGCATCGTGGTTGAGAAAAACAATACACATTTCCTGAACCTCAACTGCTTAGATTGAGTTTCGATTATTCATACGCTACAACTAATCTACATTGAACGGGCTGACGCATAATCGTCGTTACATTTTGCGCCCATCGACAGTTAGAACGGTCTTGCGGACATAACGCCAAGATCCTACCACTGACACAACGATCAACAACCACACGGAGGCCACGAAAGATAACTGAGAAGAAGAAAGCAGAACGACCGGAGGAAAGAGGGAGAGACGGACAGAAAGAAGCAAGTGCGGGACGCTAGAGCAGGACAGTAGCAACGAAGCCGAGAAGAAGAAGCTGGAAGAAATAAGAGATACGATATATAATGCCCCGTGCTACAGTGTTGCAATTTTCCGAAGTATACATTTTTCGTTGTGCTAACGCTCGTTACTGTCGGCCTGACTTCTACCCTTCCTACTTCTACTTCTTATACTGACATTCCGTGCGGAATAAACGTCCCAGTGGAGGTGGCGCCCGAAAGAACTCCAGTGCAACGTTAGAGACTTTGCATATGAACATTTTCCAAAATGTCGACAGTAACTGTGTTCCAGAGAATCAGCTTCTCTGGCCATGGCACTGCATTACTGAGTGCGACTACAGCTACGGCAATAGCTGTTGCGAGCTGTTGTATTGGCCCGCAGCCGCGGCAGATGCGTTTCCACTCCCTCGAGTGGCAAACACACGAACTGCCTGATCAACTTGTTTTTCCTAGAAGAGACCCAGTGAATTGCTGTCTGTTGACTAGTGAGTGAGTTGATGTCGGTACAGATTCCAGCTTCCTGATTGTTCTAGGAACGCCAACCCATGTACCCAGTTGTCCCAGGTTCGAATGTCTGTTGTATGTGAGTTGGTGTGGCCGCGGCATATGCTGTGCTTTTGGTGATGAATGTGATAAGTCGACGTGCTGCCCTTCCCTTGAGTTATCTTCCCAAAATACGGCCTGTCGGTTCGACAACCGCTTCTCTGCATAGGAGGCCGATTGTTAGGTCTTGCGCGATCATTGTGTAGACACTCTCAGTTGCTGTGTAATTCCCTGTTCGAAGCGTCGCTTGCTCGTCCTTGCACTTTCCTCGCCCCAACAGGAGTGATATCCTTCGTGTTGCTGATCCCAGACACTTACTTGCATACTCGAGGCTCGCCTCACGTATGTCTTTGTCTGCCATCTCCTGACAGGTTCTGGCATCGCACAAGTCCTCCCTGCGATGAAATTTAGGGCCTACGTACTACTACTACTACTATATATATATATATATATATATATATATATATATATATATATATATATATATATGCACATTATTTATCAAAACCTTATCTCTTGTATGACATGTATGACCAAATATTAGTAAAGTAGTATTAGTAAAACTAACTGCTATTCGTATACCAACGATTGTAAAAACAAATGTTCAATTTTAGTACAAACAAATGTAACACAACACTGATCTATCCAGCTGTACACATCTTGCATGATGTGAAAATTTAATACAATATTCAATTCGTAATGTAAACTGGGTTTTCATTCACAGACAAAACCAATATTGACGCTTGACATATTCTGCAAGTTGCGAACACATTTTAATTTAGGTGAGAAATGCTGTGCACTGCGTAAAAGAATATGAAAATGAAATGGTTACTCGCCTATTCATATTCACACATTCCAGTTGCAAAAGATTAGATACCAACGCAATCAGTGTGATACCCAGTCTGAAATTGTGTTACTTGTGACAGAAACTTTCAAAAAACACACCGACTGAAATGAAACGGTTTAGCGAACTGTAGCGCTCTCACAAACCACATTTGTTCAACAGTTACTCTGCACAGTCAGAAACAATATCTGCAGCTGTGAGGCACACACTCCTCTCCAAAAAATACCCGCTCGCAGATCGGAAACAAAACAATTTCTCGCGAAACGTGCAAGTAACTGGCGCTGCTCACCGGGCAAGGGTGTGGGTGTTGGGAGATTCTGGACTGCGCAGTGGTTAAGAGTAAGTAGAGCAACAGACGCTCGCTGTTACGATGCGGGCCAGAGCTTGCAGCAGACGGTTGCGATCGCACGCGTCCACACACATAGAACACACCTGCACCTCACATGCCATACGACTGGTTCTCGCCGGGAACTCGGATATCGTCGATCTTGAGGATCATCGAGACGAGTTGCGTTGCCAAGGTGATCTGCTGCTTCTTCCCGATCAGCGTTTCGATGACGTTCTGTTCCCTCATGTCTGCAACACAAGGTGGCAGCACTGGTCAGATGCTACCACTATTTTGCGTGTCGCACGCGATTCTTACACACGATTTTTACCTCTCACTATCTGCTCGATCACGCCAGGAATTTGACACCTTTGCTCACGTCCGACACTGACTGATGACTGCTAGTTGGCTCAGTGCACCGGCAGGCATCAGCATCGGCATTCAGTGCATCGACTTCCTATTGTGATTTTATGCGATAAGATGTATGCTAATAGAATGAATTGTTTGCCATCTGGCTGCTGAGACACAGAGACGTACCGTTGGTGCCCTTGACCATGCAGTCAATGCCCAGTCGTGGGTTGTTCTCTGCTAACTGCCTGGCTTTCACCTCGGTCATGGTCTTCATCGCAGGCAAACCGGAGTTCTCAGCCAGAGCTAGCGGTATGGTCTCGAGCGCATCGGAGAACGCACGAACAGCGTACTGCTCTAACGTCGAAATCTATGCAACAGTAAGAAAGTTGCAGGTAAAAACATGTAAAACGCCAGGAAAGATAATCGATGAGGCATTAAAAATATATTTTACTGAAATACAGAACGAGAATAAATTCGAAAAATTGGCCAAACACCTACGTTTACTCCAGTCCGTTTAATAACCGTTTTACGGCAGAAAGTCGTGCCCCTTCAAGCAAAAAGTACGAAGGAGATGTATCAGTATGTGCCCCTGGGTTAAATAACTACAATGGACCCCTGGGTTAAATAACTACAATGAACCTCAGTTGCTTGCGGTAGACTGGGGTGGAAGGATAACGGTAGCTCTCAATATGATTCGTATCACGACACACCTTTCATGATATGATGCGTATCGAAATTTTTTAAAGAGAATCTACCTAGCAAACTATAAACTCAACCAGGACTCATCATGCAATTGTTCCAAAACAATATTAAAGAGAGCTTAGTAAACAACTGCAATTAAACTGCGAATTGTGTCATGCTTCTTTTGTTTTTTGATGAAACTATGCTACCAAAGGATATTGATTTTATTCAGTAGAGTATTTATACGTGTATCGTGATTAATCAAACATATAGATACATGTATCGTGATTAGTCACACAGTGTTAGAGCTTTAAAATAAAAACCACTCGCCAAACTAGGCGAGTGAGTCAATAAGCTAACTCCCCAAACGGAATCTGTACTCCCCCAAAATTTTAAAACAAAAATGCTTGTCAAACAATAGTGAAAAAACACAATAACACCATTGGTTTAACTACACATGTAATTCATTGATCACGTTTCTCAAAAACTCAAGGCACATCTCCTCTGAAAGTTCGTGTTTTCATTTTCATTTAATTTACTTTTATTCTTGGGCTGCTTTGCCACATCACGCCGATTTTATTGACTTGTTAACACCAAGGCGTCAGTATTAGCGCCGTCGCTACACTACCCACGATGCGTACAGGGCAAGAAATTAGCCAAAATGTGAACAAGCCCACCCAAAATTTTACCAGGCCCTTAGACAAATGGAACAGGCCCTTAATTGTGTTAAATTTATTCCATGATTAATAAAAGTATTAGCTTTGTGTTTATTAGGCATACCAGGCTTGTCACAAGTTTTTAATGTAGCAGGGTAAACCAAGAAAGTAAGCGGCTGTCTGCTTCCGCAGTCTGCACCCAAACAGCAAAGCTGCGAGGGGGTTGGTTCAGGGGGCCCTCCCACAGAATTTTTTTTGAAAATTACACCTCTTAGATGCAATTTCCTGCACTCTGAAGCAGCATTATTAAACAATCTTCATCCCAAAAATATCACCTTTGAGTTGAGTATTTTAATCTTTGGGGGACACCAGACTAAAATGCTTACTTAAAAAAAGAGAAACATAAACTTCAAATTTCCGAGGATTGAACTGCTCAGTCTCTGTCACTGTATTTGTACAGGTACAATGCTACTTGGCAAAGTAATGTGGTTAATAAGTTAATCTATCTGCCAACTGCATAGCTAACACGGCCTCGACGCTTAATTATTTTCAGATCAGATAAATATATACATATAGACAGATGAATAGGTAGATAGATATATATAGATAGATAGATCTATATATAATATATAGAGATATATATCGATATTATACACTCCTGATATTACAATATTATTATACATGGAAAATCGTAATGAAATTCACGTTTATTTTTACGTGCCGGCACGCTCATTGCGTGTCATTCCCGATTGCAGCTTTTTCCTCAATTCCAGGAAAGAATTTTGCTGTCGTCTTCTGATGCTAGCGGTGCCCACCCCCTATAATAAACATGCCCAACGTGACTTTAAAACAATCCTGCACACCCCCTTTTGTTTTTTTCGGCGACCTTTGATAATATAAAGTGAGGATGTCGTGGGATAGCCGCCCTTCACAATCGCTAGAACTGTTTTTCATCAATGTTTGGATATATAACGTAAGGAACCAACATTTGATTAAAGTTTTAGACAATTATTTTTACTCGCCAACATGGGCGAGTCAGCTTTAGCTTTTACTCGCCCGATATTATTTTCACTCGACATTGGAGAGTGGGCGAGTGCCAAGCTCGTTCGCTGGAAACACATAGATACGTGTATCCTGAGTAGCCAGACATATAGATACATGTATCGTGAAGCTAAACGTATCGATGCGTGTATTGTCGAAGTTTGTATCGCGATACATCGATATATCGATGAGTTGTCTGACACCCCTACTGCTAACACAAGGTTTAACACCCCCACCGAACACCATACCTTGTCAGCTTCCTTGTTGACGGCAAGTGCGCAGGCGACCTCGGCCGCACCGCCGCCGTACACGATCCTGTTGTCCTTCACCAGGTTGCGAATGACGCACAGTGCGTCGTGGATGCTGCGCTTTGCCTCCTCAACGATCTGCGGGCGAGACAGACGTCAAGCTCATCGCACGCACGCGTTGCAGCCTTCACACGCATTGGCTCAGCATGAATAACGCTGCCAACTTGTGTCTACGCTACTACGTTTATCAATCTGAATATCGAACAACTAATATATATATATATAATTTTATATATATCAGGGGTAGAAATTAACTTTTGAACACGGGAGTCCAACAGACTCCCTACCCTCAAAATGAGAGAGTCCGTGGCAAAATGAGGGAGTCCGCAGTCCGAGGTTTAAAATTTAAAAGATATTAACAATAATGCATGTGCTTATTTTTAAGATTCATGCAGTTGCATGTCTGCCAAATTTTCTTTGGGCATTACCTGAAAAAATAGGGTAATTCTGTGAGGCCGTGCTCCGAATGAACTAGTTAGTATAGCAGAATTTTCAGGGAGTCACATGGACTCCTGCATATGTCAAATCAGGGAGTCCAGCAATAAATCAGGGAGTATTTGACTCAGGACTCCCGTTAATTTCGCAACTTGCTCTATATATATATATACATATATATATATATATATAAAGGTGTGAAATATCGAAGCATCAAGCTCTAATCTGACACGGAGGCACTTGGCAGTGCTATGTAATATCAAGTTATCAACGCTCTCAATTCATATCCAAATGAATTTAGTTTCAACGACAATGTCGTTTCTCCACATATGCGCATCGAGTTATTTACAGACGCTTCCGATCTTAATCGATGCTGCGAGATCTACCGGCAAACAAACGCCAGAAAACAACCGCGACTGCACGTTCGAGTAGATTCCAACGCTAGCTATGTACAACATCCACAAAACCCACGACAACAACCACACTAATACACCGCCGGTAAACAACGCTGCGCCTAGATCCCACGTGGTGCGCTCACCAACCACACTAATACACCGCCGGTAAACAACGCTCCGCCTAGATCCCACGTGGTGCGCTCACCAACCGCGACTGCACGTTCGCGTAGATTCCAACGCTAGCTATGTACAACATCCACAAATCCCACGACAACAACCACACTAATACACCGCCGGTAAACAACGCTCCGCCTAGATCCCACGTGGTGCCCTCACCATCTTGTTGCCGCCGCGGATGAAGATGGTGACGGCGCGCGAGTTCTGGCACTCCTCGATCACGAGCATCTTGTCCCGCGTCGTTCCAAAGCTGAGCTCTCTCACGATGCCAGCCTTGCCGAGCTTCTTCTCCGTGAGCTCGCTGAATCGCGGCACGATGCGCCCGCCCGTCGCAATCGCTATCAGCTACACAACACGGCACAATAAAGGAGTCTATTAGCATGGTCGCATATATACAGTTGCAGGCCATCTAGCCAACACGAGATGACGACCGAAGAATCGCCTCCCGCTGACAATTTTAACTTTTGTCTCCTCGAGGACAATTTTAAGCTAAGGCACCATGAAGCCATCACGGACAAGAATCTCCATTGAAAGAACTCGTTGGCCAAAATATCGCAAGTTGGAACAGAGAATCTACATTTAGTAATTGCATTCGTAATCAGCACCAAGGATTTAACAATACTATGTTAAGTCCTGTATGTGTCAAGCAGTTGAGCACTACTAATATTAGGTGACTGGGATCAACTTTGTACCTCAATCTCGGGTCCGCCGACCCAACGCACAGCAGGAAGGTCATTAGCTAGAAGCAGATGATTTGCTTCATCATCAAAGCCCCACTGGCAGATTGCCAAGTTTGCTCCGGTGTCTTTTACCTGTAGTGATTCATCAGTTTGGCATCGTTCATGACACAGAGGCTCGTTATGTCACTTAGGCACAGGCAATGAGGACAGACTCTGTGCATATAGAACATATAAGTATTTGTTGCTATTTGTGTTACAAGCACAGGTGACAGGAAGCTGGTGCCACTTTTCAAGCTTCAGCTCTGACATGATAGCTTTTCATTCTAGCATAGTGTCTGGCCAACTAAGGCACATAGCCAAGCAGGAATTTTTCTATGCATTTCAATTCAATTGTTAATTTCAGACTGTACAGCTTTTCATGTGCAATCAAATGTTAACATTTCACATAGACGTAAACTGATATCATCACCACGCAAGTCAGAAAATCGAATAACGTTCCAAGCGTGGTTCGACCTCTGATTCGTGACAAGTCTATATGACTAGTAAGAACTCAGGCAAACCATTTGTTATGAATTTTTACCTGCTTGACCATTTCTGCAAACTTTTCCTTCTCGTAGTCTTGAAGTTTTTTGTAATCTTCTACTGAGGTAACATCGAGCTTGTGCTTAGTCTTTGGTTTTGGTGGTTCAAACGGACAGGTGAGAATTGCAATCTTAGCATCCCTCACAACCTGAACAAACGCACGAAGTACAAGAACGTCACTTACAAGTTACAGTATCACACAACCGGCTCTCAAAAATTTATTTGTAAACATGAACTTATCATGAGATTTTAATTCAATTCATTATCTGAATATAAAGGCACAAACAACATTTTTAATCACCACACTACAATCATAATGTAAATGTGGAAACCTTGTTTAGTATTATTATTATACACATGTTGTCACCTGTGTAACAAGCACACAAGACAGGAAGCTGGTACCACTTTTAAGGCTTCAGCTCTGACATGATGGCATTTTCCTCTTGCATAGTGTCTGGCCAACTAAGGCACTAGCACAGCCTAGTAGGAATCTTTCTATGCATGTTTATGAATTTTATTAACATTAGTATTTGTGTGTTAACTTACTGCATTAACTTTGTTTACTAACAATACAAAATGAACAAGGGTCACGTTTTCCCAGAATATTTTTTAATCTATGCCTAAAGTTACAACTGATCCTATATGGTACATTGTCCAATTTTCTGTTTAATAACAAAACTAGGTATCACGTGGCGACTACTGGGAGAGGTAAAGCTAGACATTAGGATTAGGGTTATACTTATAGTTCTCACGTTTACCAGTACTGGACACACACCTTGGTCTGACATGACAGTATCATTTTAGCACTAATTCATCCCGTGCGCTACAGGCACAGTGTCAGTAGCAATTCTCATTCTACATGGAGCCCACATGAGATGTATACCATGTCCAACTCCTTTCGAGTAAACATGCTCGCTAAAGACACACTCACCTTCGGCATTTGGGGGTGACTGAAGTCTTTATCAACCACAACGCCCCTAACCAGCATTGTGTCCTCTAGTCTGCCCCCCTCCTTTCCTTCGACCTTGATAAGCTCAAAGTCGACATCCTTTCTATCAAGATCAGCAACGGCTAGAATTGCATCGACGGCAATCTCGGCCAGCTGACGCCCACACCGATTGACTCTGCAAAACACAATCGATCATTAATTAAGGATCGTCAATTATTGATAATGAAACCTAAGAGCTGATAGCTATCCTGTGTAGGCTGATAGAAAAATTTCCAAAAACTGTTGTTGACTACACACCCTAGCATATGTACAAAACTTATCATTCACATTTCACTTTAAAAAATAAACTAAAAGAAGAACTTTCTATTTTACTTGCTCAGTGCTAAAGCACGTATATCTGGCGGTACGCACACACGACCTCATACACACTAGAGCTGGGACGATACGGGTTGCTCACGATAAGATCTAGATCATGATACACCCTTCATGATATAATACGTATTGTGATACCTTCAAGAAACAAACTAACTAGGAAACTATACACTTAACCAGAACTCTACCAATCATGTGAATGCTTGCAAATCAGTATAGTAGAATGCTTAGTAAACCACTGCTATTGAACAACGAGTTGCGTCACGCTTCCTTTGTTATCTGATAACACTATGCTAGCAAATGATACAAATTTAATCATGTAGAATATCGATACGTGTAACGTCGAGGTTTGTATCGTGATACACCAATATATCGACGAATCATCATCCCACCATAACACAAAAAGGTACGTACATCTTAGAACTGAGTGTTGTGATCGCAGTCTGGATTAGTGGTTCTAGATTGTTGAGGTCCACAGGAAAGCTGTCGGCAATCTTGTCTAGCTGGTCGACAGCGACGCGCGCCGCTATCTCAAAGCCGTCGGCGATTCTGATAGGGTGGATTCCGCGGTCGAGCAGCAACTCTGAATGTTCTAGCAGAGCTCCGGCCAACACTGCGCGGCAAAAACGAAATATGGCGTCAAACGAGAAGCTCGTGATTCGCCTGTCGACTCGGTGACCGATTACACGACGAAATGCAACAGAGTGTTTTCAACTGGCGGGATTATTACCATCAACAAAATTTCCTTTTGGGCCACCCCAGATTTCACTTTTGACCCAAATCAGCACCACACGAATGGGCCATATAATGGGTAGTGGTTAAAGAATGGAAAATTTGTTTTTGGTCGATTTCCTTGTTTATCATATAGTAATGTATAAGTAATTAACCAGAATGCCTTTTTAGCAATAAAGATTTTCACAACTTGGTAGGTTCACAACAAAAACAAAATTATTCACACGGTTTCTTCTGAGGGAAAATTAGACAAAGGAAGTAATGGCCAGTTTGGAGAAAAAACGCACATCATGGATGCAAGGCTAAATCAAATTCAAGGCAAATTATGCAAAATACCGAATGCTGATAGGATGGCACTCCAACCAATCACATAACGGAAAAGTGTAGACCCTGCGTCACATGACTCAATAAATGCGCATGGCAATCCAAATATGCCAGAAGCATGTGATGATCTATTAATTTTTGGGTTGTTACAGCATTTCCACAACGGCGGTGTGCCACTGTGCCTCTTATGTATAAGAAACCCTGATTCAAGACTAGCCTCATTAGGAATAGCCCACTATACAGTTAGTTGAATAGGATTGAGGCCTCCTTTACATTTCAAGTCACATAAGTCTACCTTCATCTTGCCTCTGCACTAAATCTTAAATAGTGAAAATGGCTTCCAAAACCTGCTCTCAGCAGTGAATAGAACTAAAAATATTCAATAAATACAACTTGGATATGTTGATGCCATCGGCAGATGATGGTGGAAATAAATAGCCAAAACTTATAAAAACTCTGCGTTACATCAAACACATCCTACACCACCAGCAGGGAGCGGCCAAGAACATTTTATTATTCAACAAGATAGGAGTCGCCACAATACCACGGTTACAAGTACAAATGAAAAGATAGGTGTCACCACCTTACAAGCCTTAGTTTATCTCAACAGAATACGTGCATTATTTTTGTAAAAAAGAAAGCAAATTTCACCTACCTACTACACCGGTTGTACCATCCCCAATTTCATCATCTTGAGACTTGGACAGCTGGACCATGAGTTTTGCTATTTCATGCTCCACATCCATCTGGTCCAGTATGGTCGCACCATCATTCGTTATCATGACATCACCATCCGCCGAAACCATCATTTTGTCGAGACCTACATTGTTGTGACGTGTTCTTAAATTTTCATGGGATGTGTCAAAACTTCTGTTTCCACCCTTTATACTACAGTACACATACAACTATTGCATACATTGCACTTTGAAGTAAAGATAACAAATGTTCGTGGGGTTCTAATTTTCGTGGATTTCATGGGTACATCAATGGGTACCCAACGAAATATTATGTACATATATATGTCAAATCCCGGTTCCAGAGTGGAGGCCTGCCAACCGACGCCTGCATGCCGTCTGTGCGTACTAGTAATATATACTCAATAATCGTAATAATCAATTCAACATAACTGTCTCTCATGCTTCTAATGGTGGTTTCGCTAACTTTTTTGCCTAGAGAACTGGTGAACTTCCGTGCGGCCATCCAAAAATTTCTTGGAAAGCTTGATCCACGAATTTAAGAACCCACGAACATGTATTTTTTATTGAAACCACGAAAATAAGTGACTTTACAGTATGACTCAACTAACCCCTCTTTTTTTACTTACCTTTTGGCCCTAAGGATGTCCGTAAAATATTGGCAACAGCTTTTCCTGCCAAAATGTGGGACTGAAATGTAAGCGAATCACTTAATTAGTCAAATGTTGTGACATAGCCATTTTGAATTTAGGTACAGCACCGTTAATACCTTATAAATGATTTAAACTTAGAGGTTGACACTTGACACCATTTGATGTTGAGCTTGACACCATTGATGCAGTGCTTCATTACAACTTCTTGGTGCCACTAAAAAAATTGGTCAATACCATAACATGCTACACTAGTCATTACTACCATCAACCCAGGGTGGTCCACAACCTAAAATTAAAACATGTAAAACTGGAAACTTTAGAGGAGTAGGCCTACTTTAGATATTATTTGAAATTATGTGCGCGAAGCGCACAGGACGAGCGCGAAGCGCGAAGTTACTTGGGGCCGGGTTCTAGGGCCCGCATTAGGACACTGGCAGCTCAGGGGTTTTAGATGCTCTCTGGTGCAATCTGAGCCTTATTTTGGGGAATTTTTGCACAAAATTTATGACCTATATTTCAAAATAATTTGGGTTGAGTCAAGAGTCATGAGTGATGAGACAGAGTCATTTTTCATTGTTCAATTTGTATAAGTGTGAACGTAACCAGTAAAATGTTATAAAGCAATGTGCGAAAAATGCAAATAAATATAGTACAAGATGAAACTATATTGATAGAGTGTGGGTAGCATGCGAGCTGCGAGTTGCAAGTTGTTAATTAAAAAATGGATGAGAAAAACGTCTTCTTACCAAATTTACGGCCAAGATACCGCAACGAAA